TCTCTCTCTCTCTCTCTCTCTCTCTCTCTCTCTCTCTCTCTCTCTCTCTCTCTCTCTCTCTCTCTCTCTCTCTCTCTCTCTCTCTCTCCCACACCCTCTATCGCCCACCAAAAACCCCCAACCTAACCACCACCTCCGCCACCAGCACCACTTCCGACAAGAGGCAAAACCTGCGTCAGTTTACAAATTGGCGTCCCCCGTCAAAGGGCCAGCCGTAGCCAGCCAGCCAGGCCTAGATATTCTGGTGGAGCGCTGACTGTAAGTAGTGGAGTAGAGGGGGCCGGGGCTGTTGTATATTATGTTTGTGCACTCTGCATTCAGCGCTTAGCACTTAGCGGCGCTGAGAGGGAAGAACTTGTGAGCCGCGGAGTGAGAGAGAGAGAGAGAGAAAAAGATCAGAACTTTGATGGGACGAACTCCCATCTCACGGTCTCACAGTCTGACAATCTCACAGTCACAGACAGTCGCTTTCTATCGCTCTCTCTGAACAGTCGCGTTTCTGCATTGGAGTTGGAGGTTTTTTATTTCGTATATTTGTTGGAGTGTATTATTCCGTTCATTTTTTGGAATTGTTTTTTGATATTACGAGTATTTTTAAAAAATTCTTTTTTCAGTATATTTGCATGCGCATTTGGTTGGAATTTTAATTTATATGCGCAATTATTGATCTTTTTTCAGTTTTGTATGTTTGTTGATTTTTAAATTTTATTTCTAAATTGTACATCCGCGAATCTTTTCAGATTTTTTTTTTCAAATTCGATATTGGAGATCAGTTCTTCTTTGCCGGCCTTATTGTTCGTCGTTTAAAAAAAAAATTTTTTTTTCATTTCATATAATTATTTATTTCATTTTTTTATTGACGTATTTGTCAGAATAATTCAATCCCTATGAATTTTTAAGTTTTATTCTCTGTATATGTTGGGGGGTTTTTCATCTGGCTGTTGGTGTGTGCTATTCTTTACATTTGTCAGCTTTAAAAAAATGATTTCTATTTTTTTTCTTAATTTTTTTTTTCAAGTCTTATTTTGATATTTTTTTTGGTAAGTTTTGTCCATCATAATTATGTGGTCGCTCTTCCAGGAATATTATGTGAAGTGTGCGCTTTTGGCTTAAAATTCTGGAGTACAATGTTCGAGTCAAAGTGTGGATTTTAAAACGTTTTCAAGACAACAGTAAGTAAATTATGTCATTAGAATTATTTTTTTTAGCGTTGCACGGGTATAAGCAGGAAAAAATAAGTACCCGTTTGTCTGTGTATCCCTCTCTCCCCGTCTCTTTGCCTCACTCTCTTTATATAATATTTAATTCTCTCTCTCTCTCTCTCTCTCTCTCTCTCTCTCTCTCTCTCTCTCTCTATCTATCTATCTATCTATCTATCTATCTATCTCTCTTTC